TACGCTATTGAACACCGTTCTGGTTCAAGTATGAAGCACGTAGATGCATTGCAGAGAACGTTTATCATTGAGATGGTTCACGTTTCAAATATCGTAACTTTTCGAAGGGGTACTCGGCAGAGATGAGGGAGTCTCACCACAGACAAATTATAAGCGTGTTTCACCATGAAAATAGCAGAATTGAGCATCTTCAGTGTTAAATGAGAAAAAAATGCTAATTTCAATACAAAGGAACGTATGCTTACAAATCGCTTATAATTTATAGATCGGTTCACATATATATATTTGTAATAAAAACACATATGTAACCCCTGAAAACATTGTACCACATATGCTACGTTCCCAGCAGGTGTGGAACTTTGTTAAAGAATGGAGCGCGGCAGCCCTCCGGCTAAAGCTTATCCTGGTGAAGAAATGCTTAGCGGCGATTCCGCAAGGAAAATGAATAGCTAGAGGAGACGGAGTTAGGGTTTAGTACTTGGTAATAATGTAGGATGAATAGTGCATGCCGTCTGAAACAGGACGGTATCTTTTGAAGATTGTCCCTCCGGAAAAAAAGCAAAAAAAAAAAATGCGAAATTTCCGTTGACACGGGCAACCAATGGAGAAGCTCACATTTTGTCAGAGTCAATGGTAGAAAATCTGCGCTGCGCCGAGAACACAAACGAACGATCGCCAATTGCCACGGCTTCCCTTGCCGCTCTAATAGCTTTACCAACGAACTTGTGTAAATATATATGCATTTGTATGAGCGTGCATACATATCGACGCAGATTTTTGCAAGCAGCGAAAATTATTTTGCAAAAAAAAATATTTTATTTTCTTTGGCAAATTTCTTGACTTGAAAATCGACAAATAACCTATGTTGTCTATTTTATTCTTTACTTATATTTGCGGGGTTGTCGCTTTTTCCTTCCCATACAAATATCAGAAATTATTTAATTTATGATTTTTAGCTTTTGCGAACGTCGAGAAAAGACGCTTGTTGGCAAAGCTATGCTCTGGGAGATGTAATGGTGTTTGTTTTTATGAATGAAGCAAGTTTGACTGTTGAAAGCGCGCTTGTTGTGTACTTTTCTACAAATTTGGACATCGACTATTAGGCTGCCATATTGACTTGTACATTTGTTATTTTTGCAGAACAATATTTACAGTTTCTCAGGGCGACATACTTATCTACATGGGTACGCATATAAGTAAGCATGTTGTGCATGCATTATTTGTGTGGAAATGTCATGCGCACATATTTACATGTGTACGCATATAAATATGTTGGTTTATGTATGCAATAATTGTCCGGCAATGTCGTACACATATACATATGGGTGTATGTATATATAGCAGCACAGCACGCCCACTTTTTACTGATAAACGATAATATCAAGATTTGAATTTGAATTGTAATTACATATGTATGTAACTATGTGCTGATATGTAGGTACGTGTGAAAATTGAAATGAAATGCGATTTACATATGTAGGATTTAAATGAAACGCGCAGCCACCGTATTCGTTTTAACGATGGAGCAGTTTATTGAGAAGTAACAAAATGGAATCGGAAACAATATATTGCATATAATTATGCATAAATTCGAAATTGAACATACGCATTGTCATTAGCAGGGCTGCATTGCATGCACGATAATGAATTTTCATATATATAATTGAAGCTAAATACCGCAGTATATGCATTATACCCGCCTGATGTTCACTATGCGGATCTTTGTTACGCTGTGCCAGCTTTGCTACGGAATGGAAAAGATCTGGCCTCGTCGAAAGTGCTTGCCACATCAGCGCACCTATTGTAGACTCATTAGATGTCTGGTCTACCTTCTTGCAAACGTAGCTTTCGCATGCCACTTGAAAAGCAACACGTAGTGGTGTATATGCCGGGCTGCATTCACTTATACGATGTTACCGCAACAAATCTCTTATGTACTGTGACTGCCCAATTGAAATTTCGCCCAATTCGCCATCTCGCTCTATTTGCATACCAAGAAACATATGGAGAGAACGTTTGTCGACGCACTCGAACCTTTCACATATATTTGCTTTAACTTCAACCAACACTTCTTTTGACTGGCATGCTAAGAGAAGATCGTCAACATATACAAGTATCAAACAAAGATTACCTTTTATGTCTTGCTTATAAAGACAGCGTTCACTCTCACACTGAGTAAACATAATGTCACGCAATGCTCTATCTAGCTTGGAATTCCATTCCCTGCCACTTTGTTTCAGCCCGTATATAGCCTTGTTTAATCTCAATACCTTACGCTAATTATCGCCACTACAATAATCATTCGGGTGCCCCATATAAACTACATTTTTCAGCTAGCTATTTAAGTATACTGTGCATACATCCATTTGGTGTAGGAACATTTTTTATTCTGCAGTCAACGCCAAAACTAACCTTATGGTTTTGAAGCGACAAACCGACACCGAACAGCCCTTCGCGACCAAGCGAGCCTTATAGCGCTCAATGTTGCCGTGCTTGTCTCGTTTAAGGCTATATACCCACTTGCAGCCAATAACCGACTGCCCCTTAGGCATATCTATAAATGACCATGTACCGTTTGCACTGAGAGCCTGGTGCTCCCTGTTCATCGCATCTTGCCACAAATACGCCTGCTCACTTGCCATCGCTTCTTCATATGTTTGTGGAATTTCAACATCACTTGTGTTCATAGTATCCAACGTATTATATTGCTTCTTAGGACGCCCTGGCCTACCCGTTCTCACCAACTTAGGTCTACCCGGTGCATATTTAACTGGTTTCTCATCTGCGCTAAGATATTCATCGTTGCTGCTCATCCGATTTGTTTCATCGCCACTCTCTATGATATCACCTTCACAGTCGTTAACTATTGCGTCACCAGCACTGCTTATGTTGTTATTATCTTCGTTTGAGTATTGCTGCATGTGCAAGAAATCAAAAGCCACTTCTTCATTATCAGCGCTTTCTATGCTACTTGCTTCATCGAAGAAAACATCATGCTCTTCGACCAGTTGACGTAACTCCGAATCATACAATCGGTGCGCTTTTGAAACTCGCGAATAACCGACCTTTCTCAACTGTTTACCTTTTGCCGCAAACTTTTTAGGATGAGTTTTGTCTAGCGCTACTGCTGCTGACCCAAACACTTTTAAGTGTTTCACTGTTTCACCAAGCTTTATAAGGTGCTTTATTATTCAGCGCCTTTGTTGGCGCACGGTTTCGCAAGTACACCGCCGTAGCTACTGCTTTTGCCCACAACGCCGCATCCATGTCCGAATGTACCAGCATGCTCCTGGCCGTTTCAACCAACGTACGATTCGCCCATTCCGCTACACCGTTCTGCTGTGGGGTGTAGGGAACCGTCAAATGTCTTAATTCATTAATTTTTCTCAATATATTCATTGAATGCGCTGTTAATAAATTCACGACCGTTGTCGCTTCTGACTACTTTTATTTTCTTGCCCGTTTGCCTTTCTACCATAGTGCAAAAAGACACAAATTTCTCAAATACTTCTGATTTTGGTTTTAAGAAGTAGACGAAAATTCTCCTTGATATATCGTCAATGAATGTCAGAAAATATTTTGATCCACCCAGCGATGGTGTATCAAACGGCCCACATACATCTGTATGTATTAACTCTAATACGTTCTTTGATCTATTTTCTGTTGCCTTTGGATGTGGCTGTGCTTGTATTTTGCTTATCATGCATGTTCTACATGCCGGCTTCTGAGAAAAATTCACTTCATCCATCCCATGTACCAACAATTTATTTCGCAGTTCTGCCAAACTCGCATAATTCAGGTGCCCCTACCTATTAAGCCAAATTATTGCATTACTCTGAATGATAATGAAACAGCTGTTGCGTTCAATTTCGAAGATAAAAAAGTTGTTTATTTGTTTCAATCGTATAATCTCAACACCATAGCTTGCTTATTTGCGAAACTGCCCATTTCACCGGCACGACCGACCGAAATAAAATTTCCCCTCCTACTTGGGACGTATAACACATCGTTCAATGTCAATACAGTGGTGTTTGTAAAAATCTTCACTCTGCCTTTACCCTCTGCCTGCAAACCGTTCTCAACTGCTAACGTGATCAACTCAGAATTTCTACAAAGTTCTATAACATGTTGCGATCGCAACACATGTGTACTGTTGCGCCACTGTTCAAACACCATTTCATTCTGTCAAACTTGTTGCAGCCCGATGTTGCTAACGCAGTAAATGAATACTGTTTCTGTTGCTTTATCTTATTATTTTGTTCCTCGCTCCCCTTAGCAACACAATTTCCTCTTATGTGCCCACGCTTTCCACAACAAAAGCAAATGACATTTTTTGACTGTTTACCGACAAATTTCTTTTCGCTGCCCTGGGCCTACTTCGATGCAAATGCCTGCTGAAAGCTACCTACAACTTTTGTGACTGCGTCGCTCATGTTGACTCTAGGTTCACTTTCTTTGAGAAGTTTCAGTTTCAAAACATCAAATGTTAGCAGACTATCTCGCGTTTCCATCGCAATGACAAAGTTTTCAAACTCTTTCGGAAGACTCGATAGTAATAATATGGCAATAAGCTCATCATTGAGCGACATGCCCACTTCAGCCAACTTATCTTTAGGAGTGATGCACGCATTTAACCCTCTGTGACTGATGTGGTAGTCTAGCAGACACCAACAGACACAAAAGAGTATTTTCTACCGTTATTTTCCATACATCTACTCTCTCGTTCTCTGTACCTTCTTATTGTGTACTCATGCCTGTGTTAGTTTGTTCAGATCGATTGATGTAAGCACACGTACCATTTTAAGCGAAAAAGTGTCTGCGAGTCAACCACATCAACGTTAAGGTAGGGGTCTGTGAGACAATCACATCAGAATTTTTGTTATATTTTCATAGTGCATTCAAACATATCGCAAGATCCACATTGTTCTAAGAGAACCTCATCTGGAACTTTTAAAAACCGAAATGAGCTGGAGAAAGAGAGTGAGCATGAGTTCAGCGATATGGATGATGAATGCAATGACCCCAATTTTCAACCAGAAACGGTACTTTTAGATAATGACGAAGACAATGAAGAACAACATGCGACTACCTCTGAGACACAAAATATTTGTGAAGAAGTGAATCAACACCCAACAAGCGGCGACTACTACAAAGGTAAGAAAGGATTTATGTGGAGTGCAAGAGGGCGACCAAAAACATCTAGAACAGCATCCCATAACATCGTTAGATTACCAAGTTGCCTGCAAACTTCTACCTTTGAAGGATATTTACAGCTTTGGTCCAAAATTTTTGACGAATCCCTGTTGGAATGTTTAGTACAATATACTAATCAAAAACTCTGTAATTACCGAGCTAAGTTTAATAATACTACAAAGGTGGAACTTATGGATACATATGTAACGGAAATGAAAGCATTCATTATCCTACTACTACACTTCAGTTTTTAAATGTAATGACGCAGATCTTCGCACAATATTCGCAACCAATGGCAGTGGCCGTGAAATATTTCGTTGTGGGATGTCAAATATCCGTTTTTCTTCTTTGGTAAACTGCCCTAGGTTTGACGATTCAACTGCCAGGGCGGAGCGTCTCAAAGAAGATCAACTTGCACCAATTTCAAATTTCTTCAACAAATTTATCCTAAACAGTCAATTTCAATATACGCCCGGACCATACCTTTGCAGCGATGAAATGTTACTGCCGTTTAAAGGTCGCTGCAGGTTTAAAATTTACATGTCTCAGAAACCAGCAAAGTATGGTATTAAAATAATGTTGTTAGTCGATGCTCGCACATAATACATTTACAAAGCTTATATTTATCATGGTGAAAATTCTGACGGCATAGGGTTAAATGAACAGGAAAGGAAATTGGCAGCACCAACTCAGTCTGTATTAAGACTTGTGAAGGTTGTCGAAAACTCAAACCGGAACATTACGG